ATTAACCACACTTGTAAAAACACGTTCTGGCCAGAAGTTGTAAGCTGAAATTAAGAAGCAATAGGAAAGTGGCTTAAACTAAACATTAACTGTTAAAAACTGAAGATAAACCTTACAAGCCCAAAACATTTAACTGTTTATTTCATTTATACAACATCATGATATGAAAATAATAAGTGTTATGCCACTTTTACTGAGGATAGGAAGTAGATATCCAAAATTTTATGCCTAAAATAGATTTCCCCCCTCTTTTTTCCACAAATTTAACCTTTATCAAAAACTGAATTTTTAATCCCTAATGGCACAGAAGTTAAGAAAATTCGCTGCCAAAAGACTACTAATAACGCACAACTACATGACACACATGTGCACGTAAGATGACTTCATGCCACAAAAAGCTTGAACATTTTGTCAATGAACAATGTTGTAGAAAAAATGTTTGCAGATGTAAAATGTACAAACAAATACTAAAAAAAAATTTTTAACTCATAGTAAATTTCCTGCTAAATGACTATTCTGAAGTATATTTCATTTTCTAGATTTCCCCCCTTAAAGGATATTGGTATTACCCATGCAAGAAAAGGATATAGATAATTAATTACAAACATCTAAACCTTCTCTGAGATTTTATTCCAAATACAAAAATACAGCATCCAGTTACATTAACCACAAAACCAAAGCTTGCTAGAAAATAGTCGGTTCAAAAAAAAATTTTTATCGAAACTGAAAATTCCACATAATTATTTTTTACTTGTAACTTATGAAGGCAAAGTACAGATGAAGTTTAATGAACAAATATTGAAGGGAAGAAAATAATTACAAGCAACTGAAAACTCAACTGGTGAAAAGTTAACATTAATTTTGAATTTTATGCTTTGACATTCAGCTTGATAAATTTTAAATATCTAAATAGTAATTCATTTAACTAGGAACTAGCTAGGAAACTAAAAAAAAGGCAGAGAGACTTTATTCATGATTAGCTAATTATATATAATGCAGTCAGATTAGCACCTACAACTTTTAAGAACATTCATAACTCTCCCTATACAAAGGTTTCAAATCCATATTTCAATCCTGAATACTTAAACCCAATTAAATATTTCTGTAAATTGAAATTCCAATGATGAAAATTAAAAAGATATAATCTGAGACAATAAGTAATCAGGAGGAAGTAATGAAAATATCAACTTTAGTTATAAATTAAAGCCAAAATCTTAGATAAAACTTTCCCTTCAAAATGATTACAAATTAAACATAGAAGCTTATAGCCAAAGTCATATCTTCTGTATATTGCAATATGCAGTCTAAAGTCACATCTATCCAGGGCCAGCACTAAAGACGGTACAACCAGTGACGCCGCCCAGCGCAGCAGAATTTAGGAGTGCCAAAATGTTTAGAATTTAGTGAAGCACAAAGCAAAAAAATTTAGGTGTGCCGAAAACTTTTTAAATTTAGACAAAAAACTGAGAGCAGAATTTAGATATGGCAGAATTTTTAGAATTAAAGTAAGCATTAAGCAGCAGAATTTAGGACTGGCTGAAATTGCACAGGGAAGCAAAATGTCTAGCACTGACCCTGCATCTATCTAGAAATATGCTGAAGAAATAGATATTTTTCAATGCGGCTACATGAGTAACACCATCAAAACATTTTAATAACTACAAAAAATACCCCAAAATGGGAAAATATGCTCTGCTAATCTTTGTAATATGGTAACACGTAGTTTGGCGACATTTTGGTTAGGCGATAAAGGTTACTAGGTAGAACTTTAGCAATAATCTGAGAAGTACATAGTTCGAATCGCAGATTATTTTGTCTCAGAGAAATGAGAGATCATGAGACATGTCACGTGACATTTTCCATAAAATTCCGATCGTGATTTTAGCTAATAAGGACTAGAAACAATTTCGCTGCTAACATGCAAAATCGCCCACTTATTTGTTTGGCGCTTTTTACAAGAGTAAGAAGAATTGGATTCTTGTCAATTTTCTTTGACTTTTTAAGTGAAAATAGGTCCATATGTACATGGATAAAGTCTCTGGGATATTTTTTTTAAGTGAAAATAAGTCGACGTGTACATGGATACCGCGTGTGTGCAATTCTTAAAAACGCGCGAAGCAGTGGGCGATTCTGTACTTTCCCCAATTTCGCACCTAATCTTCGTTGTGATCAAGCACTTTTGTTCGTGAAAACAAAATGGGGTCCAAAAAAAAAAAAAAAAAAAACTAGCAGGTTGCTATAGCATTGTTGGTCGCCAAATTTTTGTCAAAAAATCGCCAAGTTACCATAAATCGAAGATTCAGCACATGTTCTTAACCTTTTACGATGTTATGAAACATCTCTGGAATACTAGTTTAAAATATAATTTTATACCATAAAAACCCATAATTTTCCTATCTATCTTATATTGTTTCATAAAAATCCTTAAGAATAAAAACTGCAGAATGTTCCTAGTTGAACTACTTCACACAGTTTGAACAAAATAAACAAAAGTAAAAAATTAAATTTATATGACATTGGCCAAAAAAAATAACATTTCAAGTAAAAATGTCTTTCTATAAATCTACTATACAAAACAAATTTACGTCCATATTTACATCGTTAAACAAAATATATCTGAATATGCACCTGGAGGAATATTAGGTTAGTATTTAAAATCATATTTCAAAATGTTATAAAGAAACATATATGTAAGGGACCCAAAAGATATGAAATTGTTACATTTCATCTTTGTGGTTATTCTAATACTGTTTGAATCACAATATATGAGAAAAGTAACACTTTAAATTTAATGAATACATTTAAATTAGTAGCCGTTGTGAGATGGAATTCAGAATTTAAAACACACAAATCTTTCTCATGAGATGCATCTTAAATTGAAAATCTTATCAGAATTAACACTTTCGTAAAATTCAATACTGATCAAGTAAGTTATAACATACAGTTCAAACTTTAACAGTATTAAGTTTTAAAAATATAATAACTTTGAAAGGTTTCAAAAATTTATATACTCTAAATATTACTTACTATGGCTTATCCAAGACAAAAATTATTCATGCAGATAAAAATTGCAACGTGTAAATATTACAAATAAAAAGACAAATTCTAGCATTAATTACTTAAGCTAAAATTATAGCATTAATTATTTAATTAATCTTTAAGACTATAAGAGAAAGTTATAAACTAAATATAAAGCAAATATGGTTCAACTTATATTAAAGCATCTACATTATTTATCAAATATTCAATATCTAACATTTTACTTGATAAAGCATTTTGCAATAAATCTCAAAAGGAAAATGTTGCTACTATACACACATCTAACTTCCTATGAAATTTCTCACTTAAATCATTTCAGATATATGTAAATTAAATGAAGATACAAGTATTACCTAATAATTAGATACAAGCATTATCTAATAATCAATAAAGACAATTTGATAATTGATACTTAAGTATAAATTAATATGAGAAAGTAAATGGATTTGATATATACAGGTCCTAAATTATACCACATCCTCAGATACTGAACAATTCCTGATAAACAGAAGATAATCCCATTATGGTCTCTGCCATTTATAAATCTTTTCTCAAATAAGAACATGTAACACTTCTTTTATTACAAATATCTGCCACGCATTATTATTTTATTACACATATATTTACTTCTGTGATATATGCATTCATAATTTTTCTGTCTGAATTAGATTCAAGGAGTACAATTTATCACACTACATGAATATTGTTTGCTTAAAACAAATATGAATGTATAAATAGACAAATCAGAACTTAATTTGATTACCTATTATTAATGTAATATGATGTGAGAGACTGCTCTCACAAAATTTTTACAAAATACAGTTATAAATCAGTTAATATATTTTTAATTTATTTCATTGTAATATCTACACATTACATAATTTTATACTTTGTATTCACACACAAATTTTGAAAAGTTTGGGCTTACTGAAACTCTAAAGTAATCACTACTAAAAGTGGTGAAATACAGAGAGGTATTTACAATACAATGTATAATTCCTCACTATGTAAAATAATGAATGAATACAAAATAGTCTGCTATAATCGGATAGCTTTTAACAAAAATTATACCTACATAATCAACAAATATCACTAACATAAAATTTATGGTAACAAGAAAATTACAATAAGAAATGGATAATTAATACTGAAGAACACAGTTCCGAATTTTACTTCACTATTTTTGTATTTCTTTTTCACAAAATCAAATATTTAATTGAACGAAATATTTACTTTTTCGCGTATTTATTATATGAGCGACAGAAATTTCGACTGCTAACATAAAGAGGAAAATTCAGGCCATTTAAATATCAACTAAAATGACAACAAGCATCATTACACACACCAAAACATTAAGAACAATAGACACCATAATAATACACAGTTCACAATTCAATATAAATCTATTCGTAACAATACAAAACAGAAAATGACTGCTATGGGACTAAATTTAGGAACAAAAGGTCCACGTACAGATATTACTGCTTTATTTGCAAGTCCTTATTAAATGCAACTAACTATATCCTACCAATTATATGATTAAAAATGAACTTTAGTCTCTCAACAAACTAGCTGCAAAAGAAATTCACTTGCCTGACTGAATGCGTTGAGATCTCCGTGTTTAAAATACACATGTGTTACACTTAAATACAGGATTCCGATTTGAGCGTGTCAGTTTAAAACTTTTATGTTTAGGAAAATAATAAAATGCTTATGATTAGTAGGTATCGACACATAAACCGGTTTCGCTACATTAATTTCAGATAAATATTTTCACTATAACACATATCACCAACAAATCCATCATTTAAAGCATATTAGCAACAAGCTTTACCGTATAACAACAATGAAGATGGAGGAATGATCCCCACTAAATCTTTGAAAAAATTACTGGTAAACGAGAACAAAAATATGTACTGATTGCATTGGTCAAAAGCGAAATGAATATTTAAAGTCCATACCTTGTTGTTTATTCGCTATCTTATTGAAGCAATTTTGGAAAACTTCATATAAGTGCATCGGTTCATCATCATTTGTCGCCATGATACTACATGTACAACAAACATACTCTCTAACTCTCAGCAGAAAAAGAACTTTTTCCTGTGTTGCTCACTAGATGTCGCTAACAACGAATACAGAGGAAAAACAGTTTCGGTTAGCGAAAAGCAGCTCTTGAAAAGTATTCTCAAAAGTTTAAAAATAAATAAATAAATAAATAAACAGATATCCTAACCTCTCTTAAATATATATATATATATATATATATATATATATATATATATCTCAAACTATTTTTGAATGCCTTATATTTTACAGTATAATGCAGTTTTACAGAATATTCACTATTACATAATGAGGAGAGACACTGATAGCGAAAATCTTGAAAAGAAGGACTCATCCCATCAAAATTTGTGTTCATAGTGAAGTGTCATATTTATATTCTGTAGCCGAAAAAATTGTTCCTCGTGGTGATAAATCTAAATCTGTACCAGAAGAAAGCAGAAATATTACCAACAATACCTTATTCTCCGCTAAAACTTCTGAGATAATAAAAGCCCCAGTGAAAAAAAAAAAAAAAAAAAAAAAATGCTAAAAGTTCAGATAACATATCTGCTACTTTAGCGGGTATGCTTAAAGTTTATTTCGAAATTAAGGTAATCTTTTTTCAAATTCCGGATTCTTAGTGTAATCAAAATTATCGCTAGTAGACTTGGGAAATAATGGAAGCCCCTACTTCTGTTGATGAGATGTTTGTATTATTTATGGTACTTGAAGAAATCTTCAAAGGGAAAACTTTGGAGAGTTTCATTTAAAATATTTCTTCCCTTAATATGTTAACTTCACGTATGGTGAATTTGTCAGTAGTTAGTTTCTTTTGCATCGTATCTGGTAATTTAGTATGTTGTGCGTATTTGTCCGTAGATTTTCCGTTTTGTATTTTGAACCCATTTATGATTTTGTATTATTTTAAAATTTGTTATAATGACCTTAAGACTCTCACTGCTTTTATATGTGTAACTTTATTTTTGTTTACGTGCGCACCAGCTCGGCAGCTCGCCTTACATGTTTCATTCGTAAGAGAAGTGCTATGGACTGCTATGTGTTCGCGGTATTTTTATGCTTAGAACTAATGTCATTCTTCACCATTTAGAAGCACCTCTGCTACTTCGCAGTAAATAGTAACTATTTACTAGATGGAGGTAGGTCGCCACATACCAGGTACTCCGGTGTAGCACCATTCGAAGAAGACTGAAGATATTTATATTTTAGTTGAAAGCAACAGTGAATAATAACAATAATTCTTCATGAAAAATATTACATTTTATAAAGTATTAGAATAACACAGTAAAATTAAATAAAACTACACGTAATTCATCCAGCAAGTTCCGTAAATTCAGTCATATTTCAGTTCGTACCATGGAGGTAAGAAAGGGCCAAACCTGCCCTACGAGTGAAGCACTGCTCCGACGCTTCGGTCTCCAGATGGGGTGTTTTTTGTTTACATTCAGAAGCTCCCTTGACAGCCCTTTGATAGGATTTCGAAACGCGACAGTTCCATACAAATCAAAAACGGGGACCTTCCGCATAAAAGAAACATTCATTGTGGGATGGATAATAGCAATTTGTATAGTTTAGTGACATTCGCGCAAAAATCACAACTTTTATTGTTGATGACATTATTACTTTATTATATTATCTTGGTCAATTTTCGATGACTAACAACAGAGATTTTGATTATGAATTTGTTTTATAAAAATTATAATCTGTTGAATTACAAAAATACAGATTTTAGCAAAAATGTTATGCTTAAAAATGAAAAATACCTTACGGTACCTTTAAAATTGTATACGTCTTTCGATACGTCGTCTTTAATAGAGTAATCGCTACTTTTTTTTTCATGTCTCAAAGGCAAAATGATTTAAATAAAATCTTTTTTTGTCATCCACATATAATTGTAACAGCTACTTTTTAAAAATTTTTACTGGAAAGGCTTTATAGTTGCTCATTTTAAGCTCATCATTTTATTTTTATATAACTGAAAAATAGTCACTTTGAGTTTACACTTTTTACTTATTTGGGTTAATTAAAAATAAAATTACCTCCAAATGCTGCAATCCTCGTCAAAATTAATACATATACACACAGATATGCCAATAAGTTTATTTTCCCTTGATTTGTAACCACGCATTTGTGTAAAATTATGTACAGTTTCGCACAAATCTGTGGAACAGAAGACGGATAATGTGCTAGTTACTGTGAAGAAATCTAGTTATTAAAAGTTTCTAAATTTATGATTATAAATATTATCTAAATATATAATAACCTTAACATTGAATTGTAAACATAAATTGAAATCCTGTTGACAAATACGTTTAGAAAACTATTTAAGCAAGAACTGCTTATACTGGAAAGCAATCTGTTAAAAGGTATTGCAGAGCAAATTCTATGAGATGCGTACTTAAGGAGGTAATAAACAAGAGTTTTAGAATATGTATTGCTGAAATTAAGGGTAAAAAAAATCTGATAAATATAATTAAAAGAAGTATTCCTTTACATTTTATAATAACGCAGTTACAAGTTTGAAATAATATTTTTTAAAAAATCCTTTTTTTATTCCTTTTCAGAAATATTCATAGAATATTTCTGAAAAGGAAAAGGGGAAGGGTAATAAAATAAGTACATGAAAATGAGCACCAATATTTAACCAATAACGTATTTCGCTGTTAAAATAAAGGATGCTGTAATATAAAATGGACCGAATAGAGTAGTAATTATAAATTGGCTTACATTTTTCGATTTAAAAAATGGATCGGAAGCTAAAAAAAGCCATGTCATATTTGAGAAAGTATTTTAGGAAGAAGCTGTCTAAATAATAAAATAAAAAATGCTGTAAAATAAATAATGCATAATTTTAATATTACTAATACAATAAACTTTGATCATAATCTTTGTAATCCTTAACCGACTAAAATCGAATTAACTTCATTTTTTTCTAATGTAATTAAGGAAAACTTGTGAAAATATTTCATTCAAATTAAACCGTTCTGAGCAAGCTGTTCTGTGAAAAGTATGAAATTTAATTCCGTTCAAAATTAAATGTTGTTTAAAAATGTATTCGTTTCACATACTTAGGACTCTAAAATATTTTAGAAAAAGAAAATATATACATTTATATGTATGTTTAAGACGTAATTACATCCGATCGTGTCGAAACCTTAACAATCCCCTTAATGGTAAGTGACTGAATGTTTTGGTCACTACGAAGGGATCGCCAGTCCTTCAAAGCAAGTGTATGCGGAAAACCGGTTAGGGCCTCTCTTTCTTATTTCCTACCTTCATGTTTCGTACTTACACCAATTTTATGTCTCCCAGCTGATGTAACGGTTAGTGACCCTGACTGCCGGAGCGATAGGCCGGGGCTCGAATCTCGGAGAAGGTACAAGGAGGTTAGAATAGAAAGAAGGAAAGTTCAACTCAAACCGTGAATCTTGGCCGCCATGTTACTACAACTGCTGTCACTTGTGCAAGGAAGTCTGTCATTGCAATATTTTTCATCATGTAGTACATTTAGTAAAGGAAATTATAAAAAATTATCTCTGTGTAAGATATATATATATATAATATTGGGGGGGAAGGGTAATAAAATAAATGCTCCTGAATCTCTTCGACAGATCTACTCAAAAGCCATTTTATTCAAAGGGCAGTAGAAAAAAAATACTGTAATACACATGATATATAATTTATGGAAACAATCATGCCTCTGTTTTTGGATATATAAGTTAAAATAGTATATCTCCTTGGATATTAAAGCAGGAAGGTATGTAAATTTATATCTTTACATAGTGATTTATTTCTGTGTAAAATGTACATCTCGAAATATGCTGAAATACATGTCAATTTTGTAAGTCCTAGAAATATTAAAAGCTAAGCCAAAATACTTGCCATATTTAACAATTTGCTTAATTAAATTTTATATGTATGTAAGGTTCAGTAAATAGCCTGAAGTTAAAAAAATATTTGGTTGCATGTTTCCAGAAATGATAAATATATATATAATGAATATCTTATTACACTTATATACTATTTTATGAAGAAAACGTGTTATAAATGTTTCTAAATCAATGAAAGGAATTTGCTTCAGAATGCCATAAATTTACTGATTGATGTTGTTTCCTAAAACTTGTTATCGTGTATGTAAAATTATTAGGATATTGATTCTCTTTTTATACTTTTCTTTTTTATTGTCTTTAAAAAATCCTTTTTTTCACTTAAATGGCCAAGGGTATATTTAAACTACAAATGAATATAATTTATTTTTTATAAACATCTTTAGATAGTTTTGTAATATATTACGGACACCTGTACTGCGGTATTGCGCATATTGTTGTAATTTTAATAAAAAATGGCCATAATTTTTCTTCGCTTTTGTATTTTTTATTCGATGTCAGACAAAGACTTTTCTCATTGCACGTAAAAATTTTCTGATCAGGAAAGCATTAGAAGTAAGTTAGAATAGAATTTAAATAAGCTTTTAATTTTTTTAATGGAACTTGGAGATGCACTGAGCTGAGCAACCATCTAAATCCACTATCCCTTAATTAGCTATCGCTTTTGATATGTAAGTTGCAAATCTATTTGCTGTTTATTTTTCTCTCTCTTTGTTTAGCATTTTAGATTTTTCTGATTCCATGAAGTTATTTCATTTAATGTAGCTGAATCAAAATTAACGCTTTTCTCAAGTTTCCACAAAACAATCCCCCCCTAAAAACTGATAAATGGAAAAAAGTTAAAAGGTATTTTTAATTGAAATTAGAATTATTTAAATTTTTAAAGTAAGCCAATAAATGCTTTAAGAAAAGTAAAAGTATAAGTCTCCTTAAATTAGCTATTTCAACAATTGCTATAGCCAATAAAAAATATGTGAATTTCTGTTTTAGTGTATTACATCTTAAAGCGGAAGTATTAAGCATACTAAAATAACTTAACTTTGTCTCTTAAACACTTGTATAACGTACACCCAACAGGTTGCTAAGAAAACCTAAACAAATATTTGAAGCATGCAGAAAAATCATTTT